GCAGCAGCAGCAGCAACAGCAGCAGCAGCAGCAGCAAACAACAGCTGACCTTCGGCATCAGCTCAAACACGAAGCGGAGCTTCACCTACTCAACTAAACATGCTGCTGCTGCTGCTGCTGTATTCGCTGCTGCTGCTGCTGCTGCTGCTGCTGCAGCAGCAGCAACACTTGGTGCTGCTGCTGCAGCTAGTGCTGTCCCTACTTTGCTGCGGAGCTGTCTTGNCAGCAGCAGCAACACTTGGTGCTGCTGCTGCAGCTAGTGCTGTCCCTACTTTGCTGCGGAGCTGTCTTGATAGCGCCTCGAGCTGCTGGTGTTTATCGTGCTGCAGACGGAGGAGTGCCTGCAGCAGCAAAACACTGCAGCAGCAGCAGCAAGCATCTGCTGCAGCAGCAGCAGCTGCAGCAGCAGCAAAGGCAGGAACCAGCAGCAGAAGCAGCAGCAGCAAGACTATCAGCAGCAGCAGATGCCTACCTGTTCATGCTCTGCACGTTGCGTAGCTAGCTGAGAAGCATGCAGCAGCTGCTGCTGCTCGAGCTGGCGCGCCTGCTGCTGCAGCAGCTGCTGCTGCTGCTGCAGCCGCTGCTGCTCCTCTCCCCGCTGCTGCAGTACATACCGTACCCTTTGGTCTAGCAAACGCGCCAATGATAATATATTTTGCTGCTGCAGCTGCTGCTGTTGCTGCTGCTGCTGCTGCTCTCCCGAGTCAGCTTCGAGCTGCTGAAGCAGCAGCAGCAGGATACGGCTGGTTTCCTGCTGCTGCTGCTGCAGTTGCTGCTGCTGCTGCTGCTGCTGCTGGCTGTCGTGCTTCTCGTCTTGCTGTTGGACAGCGTCGGCAGCAACAGGTGCAGCATCAAGGGGGGCAGCAGCAGCAGCATTGCTGCTGCTGCTGCTGCTGCTGCTGCTGCTGCTGTTGCTGCTCGCCTGTTGCGGCCGTTCTGATTGCATCTGCTGCTCCAGCTGCTGTATCAGGAGCTGCTGCTGCAGCAGCAAAACTTGCTGCTGCTGCAGCGCTTCCTGGCGACACTCGAGGCTGGCCTCCGCCTGTCTCCGTGCTGCAGTCTCCTCCTGCAGCAGCAGCTGCTGCTGCTGCAGTTGCTGCTGCAGTTGCTGCTGCTGCTGCTGCATATCCTCCTGTACCCTTCTACATTCGCTGCATGCAGCATCTGCTGCATCTGCTGCTACAGTAGGCCTTTCTGACTGACATTGTGCTGCTTCGAGCTGCTGCTGCAGCTGCTGCTGCAGCAGCTGCTGCTGCTGACGTGCTGCAGCAGCATCTGCTGCAAACCGCTCTGTCTCCTCCAGACATCGCTGCTTCATGCTTTCTAGGGCTTGCTCGTGCTGCTGCTGCTGCTCTGCTGCTGCTGCTGCTGCTTGCTGCAGCCGCCTCAGCGCCCCCTTCTTCATCGTGGCCTCGCGCTCCAAGAGCTGCCGCAGTTCAGTTTGCTGCTGCTGCTGCTGCAGCAGAAGCATTTGCTGCTGCTGCAGTTTCTGGCGCACTTCCTCAACTTCTTGACGGTGCTGCTGCTGCTGCTGCTGCTGCTGCTGCTCCAAGCATGCGGCCTGCTGCTGCAGCTGCGAGTTGCTGCGGCGCAGCGCCTCTGCCTCATCAGTCTGCTGCTGCAGCTGCTGCCGCGCCTCCCTCAGTGCTGCTTCCAGCTGCTGCTGCTGCTGCTGCTGCTGCTCTGCTGCTGCAGCAAACATTCTGTAGTTGGCCTCGAAGTCCTGCTGCAGTGCGGTGTATGCACGCTCCAGCCGCTGCTGCTGCAGAGCAAAGCACGAGCGCTGCTGCTGCTGCAGCGCCTCCGTCTGCTGCTGCTGCTGCTGAAGCCGAAGCTCACACTGCTGCTGCTGCTGCTGCAGCAACAGCAGCAGCTCGTGATGCTCAGCAGCACCCAAAGACACTAGACTGGAGAGCTCGTGGGCCCTCTGCTGCAGCGTTGCCAGAAAGCTGCTGCTCCCTGCAGGTCCAGCTGCTGCTGCTGCTGCTGCTGCTGCTGCNTGCTGCTGCTGCTGCTGCTGCTGCTGCGGTGGCTCCCGTGTCCTTCCACAGCCTAGTGATACTGTGCTCCCACAGCAGCAGCAGCAGCAGCAGCTGCTGCTGCTGCTGCTGCTGGCGTTGCACTGATGCAGCAAGTTTCGACCTTCCGAAGTGCTGGAGCAGCAGCCTGCAGGCTGCTGCTCCAGGTGTTGCTGCATCTACTGCTGCTGTTGCTGCTGCTGCTGCTGCTGATGTTGCTGCTACTGCTGTCGCTGCTGCTACTTATGATGCTGCTGCTGCTGCTGTCGCAGCGAAACCCCTGCTGCCCTGGGTAAGCAGTAGCGGCCACAGGTGCGTATCTTCAAACCCTAAACCCTAAACCCTAAACCCTAAACCCTAGGGGAGCGCTACACCCTGCCATCTGCTGCCGGGGGCCCTGCTGCTGCTGGGGGTCCGCTGCATGGTGCAGCGATGGAGAAGTGTGTGCTGCAGCAAGTGCTGCCACTGCTGCTGTTGTTGCTGCTGCTGCTGCTGCTGCTGCTGCCGACACAGCAGCAGCA